TTTTAACACGTTGACGACAGCGTGACGCGGTAACGCGTCCCACTTTGCGCACCTCGTGGGACATTGTGACGCGGTAACGCGTCCCACCCAAGTCATCCCTTTTTCTTGCGCTTGTGCGACTTATTCCTAAGGTCTTTGTACTCATTCTATAGGTCATACATTAGCATACTTAAAAACCACATGGCTCACAGAAAGGCCAAATATTCTTTAGTTTGGCAGACGTTTTCCAGACCTTACGGATATGTCTGTTCAATTCATTCCTCGTTTTCTTTTCAATAACGTAGACATGTTGATAAAAAGGAATAATAGAAGTGAATACAAACCTATTCGTATGGGAAGATATGTGTTTTACTGAAACAACCACGTCCAAATTAATTTTGGAACCACTAAAGGGAAATTAAGTAAAATTTCCCTTTTCATGGCCTTAACACGTCATTTGGTCAATTCCATCACTGTAACGCGGTAAGCGTCGTACTTTGCGACTTCGTGGGACATTGTGACGCGGTAACGCGTCCCACCCTACTCATCCCTTTTCTTGCGCTAGTGTGGCGTATTACTAAAGGTCTTTGTACTCATTCTATTGGTCATGTTTAATTGGTCATATTTAAAAACCCACATGGTTCACAGAAAGGCCAAATATCTTTAGTTTGGCAGACGTTTTCCAGACCTTAAGGATATGTCTGTTCAATTATTTCTCGTTTTCTTTTCAATAACGTAGACATGTTGATAAAAAGGAATAACAGAAGTGAATACAATATCATTCGAAGTATGTGTTTTTACTCAAACAACCACGTCCAAATTAATTTTGGATTTTTTAATTTTGGAGTCACAAAGGCAAATTAGGCAAAATTCCCCTCTTCATGGCCTTAACTCGTCATTTCGGCCAAACTTTTATTACGGTAACTCCTCATAAGCTATGACGTCACGTCATTGAAACCATTTCTTACTATTGGGATTTACCAAATTAAAACCCAGGGATTTGGTGTGGCGGTCTGGCTGCGCCTCACGAAATCGTCATGGTCGGCCACGCGGGCAAAGCACAAAACGCGCGATGTCGTCACGTGTTAACAACTCTACTGTGCATGTTTACTTCAGACCCACAACGGCTTTGGTATCAATAACCAAGATACCTAACCCCGCTTGAACCTGAGTTTAGACAAACTAATCAATCTCCTTTTTGTGGCTCCTTTCTTTCTTTCTAGACGGCAGTGATGTAAGGCCAAATGGCACGTCTACCAGGAGCCGCGGCAGGGATCGACCTGGCCGTGGCGTCGCCGCGAAAGCCACCAACTTAGCCATCCACTAAGCCGGCAGCGACACACCACACCGACTGTCTTGGTTGGCCGCGCCCCCTCCGCAAAGGCCGCCAAATACGAAGGCCGCATGGCATTCAAACGCCACTACAAATGGAAGCAGAATGCGTGCCGCATCCCCAAATGGTACTGATCAACGGCAAATATTTTATCCTTCCTTATCCTCCCTTTCTTACCGCTTTTCAGGTTCAACCACCGCCTATAGCCCTGAGCAAGGCCGGAAGCTTCCCATCAGACCCTTCGTGGGAACTCGCAGTTTGAAGAAATCCCTTTATTGTTCCATGCTTCACGCATGAATGACGACTCATCGTCTGCCATTCACTGCGCCCAGCATCAAATTGCGGAATCTACTTCCTTGAAACTGCAGTTTCCCGAAAAGTGCTTCTGGGAGCATTAGGCAGCTCGCACATGTACTCAGATTTTTCCAGTGTATGAGTAAAATGCAAGCAAGAGATTGCAAATTATGAGCTTTAACAGGGGCTAAGGAACAGTTCTGCAATGGTGTCGTTTGACTACCTGGTCCGGAATCGAGTTCCTATAAAAGATCAAACCCAGCCTGGGTTTCAATGCTCCACGACCAGCTCATCGATATCATGTGCTTCCGGGACCATGAAAACAGTGACTCGTATAACTGACACCCTCATGTCATCCATAGGCCAAACATCATTTAGTTGGTTCTACTATCTTTTGTGGACGACTAGTGCATGGCTTATCCAAAAAGGAGCTTTTCTATCATCGAAAAAAGACATAAAAAGGCTACAGGGTAGAAGCAGCACATTTTCATCTCTATGTGTGAAATAGACGAAATTTCCCACCCGTCCATTTCACATCACCGTGGGTGTTCATTGCACGATCCATTACGCCATTAAGCAATCAGCTTGCCTGCGAGTGAATTTAGCTCGACTTCTCGCCTAATGGCCGCATGCATCTGCGCTGATCTATCAGCCAGATGCCTCACCCGACTCGAGGTATCGGAAAAGGCCCGCCTTGCGCTCATGGAATCCACAACATCCATTCTCTTGCCCGCGAGATGGCGACATAAAGGAATTGAGTTATGGCTGTGCGCGATTCTATCATCTCAGTAACCGAAGGAAAGCCGTGAAAAACGGGAGGTAGTTATCGCGTTTCTGACTAAAGCTCCTCATCTTTGATCTGGAGTAATTCAAAAAAGACCCTTTGGTTTTTGAAGGACAGGTTTACAATGGTGACAATATGTGCATCTATATAGTGAAAGCTGGTGTTAGACGCTGCCAAATCTGTGAGCATCAGCTTGCCAGCGCGACCCCCATTAAAAAGGCACCTGCTTATTTTCCATCTGTTCTTCGATCCTGACCGTTCAACGCATTACTGTCAGATTCTACGCGTACGGTCTTCCGAGTCCCAGCGGACCTGCGACTGCGCGAGACTAGGGGAAGAGGGTTATCGAGTCCATACAAAGGATATTCAGGACACCAGACAGGAAGGAGATGAAGTTTTTCGAAAGCGTTAATTTTAAAAAACTCTAGGCCCACTGCAAGTGACCTCCATCTGACGTAGGAAGTTTTTCAGGGGTTTAAGCGCGTTTTCTAGAAGGTTTGTTGCATTCTGTAGGGGTTTTTACATGGACTTCAAGAGATTCACTTTCGCTGAGTAACCCCCGAAAGGCAAATAAGGACCGGGAAAAATTTGCTTGGAATGGGTGATTTACAGCGTTGTAGTGATGTATGGAAGTTCTAGCGAAGAGTACCCGGTCTTGGTCAGTACCATCTACTGTTGGCGTTATTTGAAGGAGAAGCCTATGCACTAGCCAGTGCAAAAATTTTGACACTACGTAGAATTGAACCTTGGATCATTTCTCCGCCACCTTTCGCCTTCACTGAGTCATTCAACGAAGAAGGAGCTCGCTTCTGAAGTCCACACATTAGTTCTCACAAAATGCAGGAACCGCAAAATGCAGGAACCGTTCCAGAAAACGCACTCCACACCCTGAACCACCTTACTTGGGAGCCGCTAAACTTTCAATGACTGAGATGGGACCTGGTAGATGGATGAAGGCTCACGGCCAAAAATGCCTCCACATTTTGAGATCAATGAGCAGCTCAATTTTTCTGTCTTCAGAAAGAGCTGAGCAGTATTTCGCTTCCAGAATTTCGAAGAACACATTCAAATAGACTTCTGTTATCTATCGTCCAGATTACTGGCCCGGGAACGATGGAAATAATAATTAATGAGGCTACCACAACTCTCTTTAGGGCCAATAGTCTAAAATTGATTTCAAGATATTCTAGCAAAGAACGTAGGAAACAATCGATTGTAAAAAGTGATACCATCTACGGAAAACCATAAAAAATGAAGAAAATGATCGAGAACAAAAATGAAAAGTATTTTGTTCATCCCTACAAGCTTAAAAATAGTCTATTGGCGAACAATGCTTCTATCAGTTCAGCAAATTTTATCCCATCTGTTTTTGTCGCTCAATTCATTCTCGGAGGCTTTGAAACTGTACATTCGCCTGACATTAGCACTTCGGCTTACCCACATCCCGCGTATCTGTGCTAAAAGCTCTTCGGTGACCGAAAAGCGCAGCGGAAATGCTATATGCCGAGTCCAATAACCATCTATTCTTATTATTACCTTCAAGGCCATACCAAGGAATCAAACCTGATGTGCGATCTTACAACAAAATACATCGTGATTGGTGCGACATGGCACGGGCTGCATAAAGACATTAGAAAAGATTCGCTCGGAAACGCCTCAGTTAGACCTGACTTACCTCGTAAAGGCTGTGCTAAGGCATTGAGAGAGTGAGCGCAGCGAGGAGAGTATAGGGTGAAAGAGTGCGCTACAGATGAGAGGGTGCCAGACAACAGACTGATAGAAAAAAATTGCAGCTGCTGCATCTATCGCCCTTATCGGGTGAATTCCGTGCACGGGAATACCACATCTGTGATTGCCCTCTGAGGGCCCATCCTACAGATCGAAGGGAATCTTTCACACGACTTCCGCCTGGGTTATTTTCCCCCTTTAATGAGTGCTCCACCTCCACGTTCACTCTCGGTGTTTGTGATTGCAAAACGCTTGCATTTTTTCTAATCAAGGTTACACTTTCCGTAATCAGTGGCACATTAAGAAAGAGAAGATTAAGGAAAGAAAGAACGAAAAACGGAAACAGAACTCGGAAACTCATTTCAAAGACTCACAAGCTCGCGTCATAGAAGTAGATGCCGAGGGAACCCAGTGACAAGACGAACACCAGCACGACCAGGAAGCGACCAGTGAGGCTTTGACCAGATATTAATTCTCCAGCCCAATCTTTTGCCTAAACACTTATCTTTTACTTCTATGTAATAGCTGCTAATCGATAAAATGAATAAAAATATAAAAGAATTGTCGAAGAGATATTACACTGAGCACAAAAACGTGCTATGAAGATGTAACCTTGATGGGTCCATGCTGACAGCAGCACGACTTTCAACCCAGTTGTTGACCACCTGATTCGCACGGATGGTTGGATTTTGCCAGCGAAAACAGCTGGCTACTTCCAGCAGCCAAAATCTGTCCGATCGGAAGTTTTCAGCTCAATAACAGCTCACCTCAGTCATCCAACCCAGATGTTTTTCTTCCTGTTTCAGCGCTAAACTTTCAAATTCGGTTTTGACTGCTGCGGCAGCGCCGTGCTTGCCGTTCAACTAAAATGGCATCGTATCACTCAGGTACAGGTGAATCTGCACGATTAGCCCTGAACAGGCTAACTGCTACTTACGTGGATTGGCACCGTCTCCGTGACTTCGACTTCGTCCTCACGACGTCGTTGACAGAACAAATGTGTGACGATCCGCCACGTAACCACTAGTAACATAGACACACAAAACGTTACAATACTGAAAGAAAACTTCCGATTGTATCGAATTGACAAGATTAGCAAGAAAAGACTAAAAATCACATAGGAAAAAGTAATTTGGATCGAGAGAGCAGCAGACCCGAGATGCGAATCCTATGAATTGGATAGAAAGCGAAGTCTTCACTATATGCAGTAAAGACATGGTTGGGTTGAACTACTATCAAGTTACGTCTATGTAGCTGTATGGCATTATTAGCTCAAGCATGCTGAGGTCCGCGCAATTAAGCATCGGGATTTCAACCATCGCACCGCTGAGCAGTGTACTTTCCTTTTCAGGTCCACGGGCGAGGCTGTCTCAGCTTTCAAGGGTTCCTTTTGCAAATGCTCACCAGTACGGTACGTATACATGATGAAAACTGACTACAAGTCCAGTTTTTTAGGGCATACATGTGAACGTCATTCAAAAAAATGGTCGATTGCTTGGAAGAATCGAATTCTTCCGACTTGTCTCTGCGATCAACATTATTCCTTCCAAGATATTTGGCAAAAAAACCCCTTATTCGAAGATTCACGGCAAAAAATGAACGGACCATCAAAGCTTCTCAAAATCGCCAGATATTTGTAGTAAATGGAGTAATATTTTAGTTTTTCTTTCCGCTGACAAATCACGACTGGAAAAATATCAATTTTATCTAACAAGAATGGAACACGAATGTAGGTGAGGTGAAGAGGCCTTTCGATGTGTCACTGAAAAAGAGCAGGCTCATATAGTTAATATGAGACCTATAATCCGGCCAAGTTATGTATTTATGTGTTATTAGCATGGTTTTAGTGACGCAGCAAGGAAATGCCCATTACGAAAGAACAAATCATATGTGGATCGCTGTCAAGTAATGGAGCAGAGAGCGAAATGAATATTTATTTGTCAGAAAGAATATTTTGACGTGAAGAAAAAATGTTTCATTCAAGATTATGCTTTTCATGTAGCTCTTCCGCGAAACTAATAAAAAAATCATTTTTGCAAGAAGTTTTATAAGCTAGTTTGGTACTCTTCGCAACAAGAGATATATGCATCGATAATGGGGAGTGAGCGAAGTTGCAGCAGGGTCCAGCAGTCAGGCTTTGGGGGTTTGACTGAAAGCTTTTATGATTTTCTTATTCTAAATTCCACAAAATGTACCAACAGCAGAGGATAAGGTAAGTAAAATCCAATCATAAACGAAAACCAAGGGGAAGACCAAGCAGAATCCTCGAAAACAGCATAAACGTCGCCAAAGTGCAAAAATTTTAGTTTAAATTTTGTTTTGTACATATTTACAGAAACTGGAAATTTGTCATTTAGGGCTTTTACATTTAGGAATGGGAATAACAGCGCTTCCATCCCCTAAATTCTGTTAAGGTTAAACACATAATCGTCAAAGATAAGTTTTTTGGAGGCCTAATCGTGCCTTCTGTAGCATCAAATGCCAGCATTCAACACCAGCATTCAATCGCTTCCGTGGCCCTCAGCGAAACTCGGTAATGCGGCGCATTCCAAAGGGGTTGGCTTATCACTTCATCCGTCTGGACGGAATCCATCACATAACGTGATCTCAAATGTCGCTAGATGAAATTCGAGACACCACTGGCAAGTGCTCCAGCAAATGTTTCGCCGAATTCATTAGCTGGAGCGAGAGTTCTCCTAATGGTGAGGGAGGATTCAAACAGAGAAATGGATCCGAAGCAGAATAGAGCGATCCACAGAGAATAAAGGACTCTGAGAGAATCAAGAATCGATGAGATCAGCTGAGTTGATTTCTTACCTGCTGAGCATAAAACACCAGTATTTTCGTTCTTCCAAACATTTTCGATCCTCTTCGGTCATTTCCATAAACACACGTGACATGTTGCAATTCATCGGATAGCCATAGGGCTGATTATAGCCCTTGGCTTGGCTACCCACATAGTGTTCGCCCATCTCTAAGTAATCATACAGAAGATAGCGTATATGATCGTTTCATATAAGGTTAGCACAAAAAATCTATAAATCAATAAAAAAACAAGTGGAAGGTTCGGATTTGTGCATAATCGAGTTGGTTATCTCTTTAGAAAAATCAGCGATTCCTCCAGAAATGTCTCTTATTCATAGCATGACTTGGGGGAACGTGTAACGTAAACGCTACAGTAATCCACAGTACACATGGTACGGTAGGGAGGTGATAATAGAAGGATTGGATCGCATCAACATGCCTCTGGCCTAGAATGGACGCCGAAGGCAGGCATGAAGGGAAGGTGTCCGGGTGAAATACGGGTCGTCTTGGCGTGACAGTGTGGTCGCAGGTATGAAATTGAGAAGGGAAGGAAAAAAGAAAAGTGACGTCATCATATTTTATGGTGGGCATTAACTCATAATCGATGAAATCGAGAATCGAGGAACTTACTTTTATTGTCGAAAACTATGGCGTAGAAGTATAGCTAAAAGAAACGCGATGACGTCATCTGAATTCGAAGTGAATCAGGGAGCCGTCAAGCAGCAACAGCACAGCGATAACTCGGCTGCATTGCTCCCTAGTTTTCTTCAATGAGGGCGTAAGTATGTGTGCTGCATGTGTGTATGGTAGTCTGCGTGTCTGACGAAGCCAGAGAATCCTCCTCCCTGAGGCAATTGGCAACGGCTTACCCCTACCTCTCTGTGCTCTCACTCCCGGATCGATAACCCTTGTCGGGATAGGGCGGGCAGCAGGAGGGCTCAGAATCGTACAGCGCGTTGTGTAAGGCCAAGGCCAGATGGCTGTGCCGTGCCTTACCCTCTCCCGACAGCTCACTCATCTCTGTCAGCCTCAGCCTCGTGTACGCTTTACTCACCTGCTGGCATAATTATTTTGTTGGCCATCCTTCTAGCGCTAAATGCCCGCTCTCCATGACGTGGCTGGCTGAGCGACATACGATGACCGGCGGTCGACCCATCCATATTATTCGTTCTTTTCCCGTAAGAACGTTGCGATGAAATGAGCAGCTGTTATCTGAAGGTGACGGCGCGATTCAATTGCTCCAAAAGAGGCAGTAGAGGGTTTTGAAGAGGTTTCAGCCTGAATTAAACGTGGAATGCCGTTTAAATGCCGTCTAGCGTTCGTCCCATTCATTGTCAAGGTTTGTACTGAAAATTGCTAGGTTGTAGAAGGAAACATTTCTTTTTGAGGTTGTGCGCACCTGTTCGGAAACCGCACTGCACTTTGAGTCACATTTCAAAGCTCTCTCTGAGAACCATTCAGGGCGAATGCAACCCAGCCAGATTTCGAGCCACACTTCCGGTGATCCAACTCATTATGCCAATCGAACAGTTGTCGGAATAGTACAAGAGCACTGACCTAGATTGGTTCGCCTCCCCTCAAATGATGTCATTAGTCAGATATGCATTTAAACGCGCTACGATTTCTTGACTAAAGTAGAAGGCATGGCGTATTCCCAAAGAGTTGATTAATGGAGGTAACTCATCAGGATGAGTATGAATGAGACAAAGGAATAAGACGTTTTTCTGGTCAGCTGTGGAGAGTGACAGTGAAGGAGTTGAGAGATTATTGAGATTTTCTTTCACTTTCATTGTACTGCATAGGTTTGCAAAAGGTGTTCCCCTAGTATTTAACCTATGAAAGGATTTCGCACAAGTTAAAAATAAGGACGTAAGTTACCAGGGATGTTGAGAAATGGAAATTTTATAGTCGGAAAATCGAAGGATAAGCTCTAAGCTCCTTTTCGATATCCCTAGGCACTCAAAAAATGAATTTTGAAAAGCGCTTCAAGCCTTGAGTGCTGACACCTCCCTGTAGGATAAATTATATTCGGGATTGTTTAATAGGAAATGACGAAACGCTCTCCAACAGAGGGGAGCGGGGTGGAGGCAAAAAAGAATTACCTTGCCTATGAAGAACATCACCAAACTTCTTGTCGCGCAGGGTGCCGCTATTGATGACGTTTTACGGCAAAATATTCCTTAGATGTCCCCCCATAAGCAGAAGCAGGCCCTCCTTCACTGCCCTCACCGTCTTCAGAATATGACGTCATCTGCCGTCACCGTCGAGCTCAACGAGGCTTACCGTAATCGCTCCGACCTGAAGCTGCTACATAAATTTCTTGGTCGTTAATGTGAATAGCTTTCTAGAGACACTAGCTGTGAATGCAAGACCGCTTTTGACCAGCGTTTCAGGTAACATCGTAATGGCCTATGGTACCTCGACGACGTCATTGAGCTCGTACTGTGCACCATATTCCCGTAGGATAATCTTTTGATGCCGTCGGTGTCGAAAGCAAGGCAGGGATAGCCGAGTGGTTAAGAGGTTAGACTCATGTCTGCACCTCTGAAAAACCGCGAGTTCGATCCCTGCCGAGGCTTAAAACCATGCCTTGCAAAAATTGCAAAAATGGTTCTAGTACCAGCGTCAGGCCCAGGTTGACAGGCCGGCTGATGAAGACCCCAGTCACACCAAACATGTCTAAAAGTCGCAAAAGAATCAGTGATAAAGCTAGGACGTCACCCGGAAGTGGCGCGCAGAACCCCCGCCCGAGTTCTGTGGTCAGTATGCGAGGGCTACCGAGGAGTGAACGGCCTCGGCCAAAGAAGCTAGTTCGAATTGGGACTCTGAACGTAGGATCGCTAACTGGGAAGTCCCGAGAGGTTGCTGATCTGATGACGCGCAGGAATATCCAAGTCCTATGCCTTCAGGAGGGCGGAAGTGGTGTAGTGGCAAGTGGCACGCTCACCACGCGAGCGGTCCGGGGATCAAATCCTGGGTCGTGAGTCGCCCGGGCCAACCAAGCCTTCCATCCCTCCGGGGTCGGTTAATTGGTACCAGACTTGTCTGGGAGGATAAAAACACTGACTTGTACATCGGCTGGCCCCCGCAAGTCATTGTATAGGCCACATCGCATTCAAACGCCACTACGAATGTACAAATGGAAGTAGAATGCGTGCCGCATCCCAAAAAGGGATTGATCAACGGCAAATGCTTTATCCTAATGCCTTCAGGAGACGCGATGGAAAGGTGCTAAGGCCAGGGAAATCGGAAGGTGTCAAACTCTACTACAATGGAAGACACCAAGCGGAACGGTGTGGCCATAGCGGTAGCGGAGTCGCTCAAGGACTATGTCTCCGCTGTGAACAGGATCAGCGATCGGATCATGGCTGTGAGGATAGACACGAAGGAGGGGTACTGGACCATACTCTCCGTGTACGCACCGCAAGCCGGATGCCCCGAAAGTGAGAAGGACGAGTTCTATCTGAGCCTTGACGATGCCATCAGATCGATTCCGGAAGGCGATTACCTCACCATAGCAGGTGATCTGAATGGTCACGTCGGCAGTGACAGAAGAGGCCTGGAAAGGGTGCACGGAGGTAGAGGAATAGGAGTGAGGAACGCCGAGGGAGAGAGGGTCCTGGACCTGGCTACGGCCCACGATCTGGCAATCTGCAGCACGTTCTTCGCGAAAAGGGAGACTCAGAAGGTCGTGTACAGGGCGACAAACGGAAATCAACAATGTGCTCGTGAAAAAAGGCCCCTCGGGGCTGTGAAAATCAAGGGGGCCAATACAGTGGACTTGGGGCAATACAGCTGACATCATCTTACGATGCGCCAAGGAGGTACTGGGAAAGACACGAGGTGGAAGACAGAGACAGAGACAAGGCAGCATGGTTCTAAAACGAGGAGATCCAGCGAGAAGTAAAGTAAAGAAGGAAGCATACAGAAAAGATGAAGCCAGAGTCAGTATAGTCAGTCAGCCAGTATAGAAAAGCCGGAGTCTCGAGGACGTAGCTACCTACAAGAGGTTGCAAGAGGCTCGCTAAGGCTGCTGTAGCCAAGGCAAAGAACACGGAGATGGACGCCTTGTACGAGAAGTTGGAAAGCAGAAACGCAGAGAAGTTCGTCTTCAGACTGGCCAAAGCCCGGCATCGGGCTACTCAAGATATCAGGGTGGTGAAGAGCGTGAAGAGCAGCAACGGCGCCATCCTGAGGAAGCCAGCCGAAGTCCGGAGGAGGTGGGAAGAGTACTCCAGCGGTTCTTCTGAACGAGCAGTTTCATCACCACAGAGCTGGTACCGCACCCTGGGCCAGGGTCAACCGTTCGTTCGAACTCTTTGAACGAAGGGGTCACATTAGGGAGAGGAACTTAGTCAGGATTGACCTTTCACACCTCCTCGCCGTGGTTATCTCGCACCACCCTGTAACCTGCCTCTGGGTGGACCTTGCTTAATTAGGTGTGCTGAGTGCTGACCTCGCTCCAACATATCGCTCTCATGCGCAGTATTGATTATCAAGTCTATCTTTATTATATTCACGGAAACAAACCAAAGTTTAATTTATACAAATTTTTAGCATAGTTAACAAAAAATTCAGATTATACAGATGTATTAGTGACATTTCTCGACATCCTACTGCAAAGTCGTTCTATTTCTTCTTGAGATGCGCCGTTTTGGCAACACACTTTCATAAATTAGTTTGGTAGGGAAGTTAGGCGAAACTTTTAATTTCGTAAGGTGAAACTTCAGTTCGGGGGGCCACTCCATTGCTAACTTATCCGTAGTACTAGAGAGCAGTTCTTTGGGCTATCGAACACTATGGATAAGATAATAAGTGAACGACTCATTTCGAGCGTACTTTTGATAAGGACCGGTGGATGTCCTACATTCCACACTCCTGCCCACATCCCATCCACTTTTCTGCACAGGTCATCCACCCTGGAGCTCCTCCACTCCTAGACCTGGCAGAGGTGTCCATTATCCTTGCGGAAATGTGAAGACATCTTAGGATTTCTTCCACATTACACGATACTTATCAGAAGTATACTTTAAATGAGTCGATTACGTGTCATGAGTGCTCTCATCCTTATCTTGAGCATTGGAGAAACAATGGAGTGGCCCCCCCCAAACTGGAGTTTCACCTTTCGTAGCTGTTCTGCGTGGAAAACGGCTTGCACTGCGAGTGCTGTTAGCTAAAAATTAGTTATTTTTGAGCTCCCATTTTTTCTGATATTTTGTTTCCTCCAACCGCTACTGTATAAATGAATTTATTACCAATATCAATATATCCTCTATAATGAGTCTGTCGGAGTTGGGTCAGCACTCAGCTCAGCTAATTAAGCGAGGTCCACCCAGAGGCAGGTTACAGGGTGGTGCGAGATAACCACGGCGAGGAGGTGTGAAAGGTCAATCCTGACTAAAGGTGCACACCCCCTTTAGCTTGCGTCTGGTGGTGGGGGCCGGCCTCTCAACCAGTACACTGCTGTGGGTGCCATTGGAGTACGAACGCCCTGAATGAAGTGTCTCCATTCTGGTCGATTAGCAGCAATACATCTAGCATGCTCAACACTGCACCTCAGAGCCCTAAGGTCTTCCTCAACTTGCTTCAACCAAGTCTTTTTTGGAGCCGTCCTCTGAACTTTCCACTGCGCAGGGCGTCTTCTCCACAGGAGCATATTAGGTATTCTGTCGTGACCCATCCTGCACAGGTGACCGAACCATCGTAGCCGTCGCAGTTTCAATTGTTCCTCGATTGTGGGTTGATCTTCAAACTTCTCCCTGATGGCGTTGTTCGTGACATGGTCACGAAGCCTGATCCCGAGCATATGGCGGAGACAACGCATTTGAAACACCTCGAGATGAGAGAGATCCGACTTGAGCAACGTCCATGTCTCAGACCCATATAGTAGCACAGGGAGCATGCCAACTCAGTCGTCCGGAACTGCGAATTTTGTTTTCAGTGATGAATTTTATCTGACCCTTCTTCTGCAAACACGCACTTTACACGCTGCAAATGTCTAATGACCATGACCTAATTCCTGTGTGCTGTCAGACAACGATTTGTGATTTTCATTTGCTGCGGACTCAGCCTCGGCAACCCCACTTTCCTTTCTTGAACGACCGATCCAAGGTACTTGAAATTACTCACTTGCTCCAAGGCGACGCTACCCAGTCGCACGGACGCGGGCGATCCATCCGAGGTCATCACCTTGGTCTTTTCCGCGTTTATTTTGAGGCCATACGACTGGGCAATCTCTGACAGTGAGCACATGATGTTAGTCGCTTCCTCGTCAGTTTCGGCGAAAATTGCGCTGTCGTCGGCAAACATCAGGTCAGTGAGAAAGCCGCCTTCACCGTACTGCACGCCTTGCCTTCCGTTGAAAGTTTTCCTCATGACAGCGTCCATTACCACGTTGAACAACGTAGGGGAGATCACGTCACCCTGACGAACACCAGCACTTACAGGAAATTCTTCAGAGACGTCATCCTTGACGCGGATACAGCTGACAGTTCCATTGTACGCCTCCCGCAACAGCCTCACAATTTTGTCCGGAACATGTTCACACTCTAGGGCTTTCCATAGCGCTGGCCAGTCTGGACGCTATCTGGAATGCAGCTCTGAAATCTATGAAAACAACCACAACCCTTTTGCCGCAACGAATACGTTCTTCCAGTAGTTGCCTCAGCGCGAAGATCTGGTCACTGCACCCACGGCCAGGGCAAAAACCCGCTTGCTCCGGTCGGCATAAGCTTCTTCGATGAAGCTGAAGTCTTGCGTTGATGATCTTTGTGAAAACCTTCCCGACGACTGACAGGAGTGATATGCCGCGATAGTTCTTGCATTCCGTTATGTCGCCTTTCTTGTGTATTGGCACGATGATGGAGCGTTTCCACGTCGTAGGAACAACCTCCGTCTGCCAGACGCGACACATAAGACGGTGGAGCCGTTGTACCAATACTTCTCCTCCTGCCTTAATCGCTTCTGCTGTGACATTGTCTACACCAGCCGCTTTCCTGTTCTTCAGCGACATCACCGCCGCCCTCACTTCCTCCATACTTGGCGCCGCCTCGTGTGTTGGTTCCTGTGGCATCTCTATCGGTACTGGCTCTGGAAACGGTTCTGTGGGCAGTTCGTGGCTGTACAGCTCTATGAAGAACTCTCTCCATCTCTGTAAGCGTTCCCTCTCTGACTTCACGAGTTTGCCACTTGCGTCTTTGATGAAGGTTCCGCATGCTCTGGTTTTGCCGCACAGTCTTCTCAGAATTTGATACGGCATGCGATACTCGTGTTTGGATGCCCGTATTTCTTCAAGCTCCTTCCGCTACTGCGTTCCAGTAGGCCTCCCTTTCTGTTTTTAGTCTCTTGCGGAGCTCCTTACTGAGTAGCTGATACGTAGTGCCATTCGTCAGCTTCACCTTCCTCCTTTTGTCAACCAACTGCAATGTTTCGTCCGAGATCCATGGTTTAGTCCGTCGGCGCAAAACTGGGCACAGTTGTGTAGCACATTCGGTAATGACTTTTGCAGTCTGCCGTTCTTCCTCGTCCACCGTTCCCACTTCCGTGAACGCAGCAAACTGATTTGACAGTGCAATTTGGAAGCCTTGCTTCACCTCCAGCTTCAAAAGTTGCTCCCAGTCTACTTTCGGTTGGCGTTTACCTCGCTTAGCACACTGTAGGCGGAGCTGCACGACTGCTCGTAGTAGGTAGTGATCTGATCCGCAATCCGGGCCTCTCATTGCACGCACATCCTTTAGCGATGACCTGTATCGAGAATTGATTAGTACATAGTCCAGGACTGCTGAATCGTGACCAGATGGATTTCTCCATGTCAGCTGATGCTTTCGTGCATGCTGGTATAGGCTATTGCCGATGACCAGATCATTGAACGTGGCAAACGAAAGCAGCCGCAAACCATTGTTGTTCATTTCTCCTACGCCAAATCGGCCCATCACAGGTTCCCATCCGGTTCTGTCGGCGCCAGTTCTAGCGTTCAGATCGCCTGTGACGATAACGAGATCTCTTCTGGGAATGCTGTCCAGCACGTCTTGGAGCTGCATATAGAATTCGTCCTTCATACCGTCGTCGCTCGGTTCCGTAATCTTCGTATACGCTCACTATGTGCGACTTGACGGTTCCGCCCAAAGTGATCACTGCTATTCTCGGCGAGATGGGTTGAAACGACACGACGCATTTTGATGCGTGGCTATTGAGCATGAACCCAACACCATCACGATGTTCTTGACCGCCAGAGTAGTACAGTGTCATCCAATCGTCCGTAGCAGGAACCTGCACTCTTGTCGTTCCACAGCCGCTGATCCTCAGTTCGGATAAAGCTGCAACAGTAACCCGGCACTTGCTCAACTCCCTTGCGATGATTTCTTTCTGACCGCAGTGAAAGGCGGTCCGCACGTTCCACGATCCAAGTCGCAGTTTCGACTTAGGTGTAAGGAGTCGTGGGATTTCCTTTTTTTGGCCAGTCAATGTCTTTCCACCAATACCCTGGCTCCTCGGTATTGGCGCATCGGCTCCCCCGGATGCGGTAGCTTTGTCGTTATTGCTATAATGACACTCCATGGTTTCTTACCTAGTTTTACAGCCCGTCGGTAGCGGGCCAACCCTCCTCCTTTCCCAGACGGGCTTGGGACCGTCCATGGCGGAGTTTGTGGGCTGTACGACTTTTATGACACTGTTGAACTTCATC